GTTATTTTTGCAAGCCTGATGGTGCACACCAATCTCAAGATTTCAAAAGCCAGCATGGCTTCTTGTGTTAGCTGTTACTGGCTTGCTTCTGCTTAATATCTATTCTTGGTTCATGGTTTTAAAAACTGGGTATCTAAACTGATCTAAATTCCCCAAACTTTAAAATCTAACTTGGTCGTCTTACTGACCACAAAGATTTAGGGAGCAAAATCATGCAGAAAGAATCTGTACCAACTGTTCTCTGTGATTTCTTGAATTTTTTTTTTAAGCAATTGACCAAAAAAAAAAAAGGAATTAAAAAAGGAGGGAGCAGTAGTAAAACATTTAGGCTGTTTTAGTATTTTGTCCTTAGTTTGGTTGCTGGAACATATTTTTGAGAAGTTAAAATGGAAGATTGATATTTATGGTGGTTCTTTTCTCTTTTTGATTTTGTTTTTCCTTCCTATGTCTAGCATGGAGTTTCACAAGAGGATTTCATAAGGGGCAAGCAAGAGAAAAATGTGAGAGATGTAATTTATGACATTGCCAGCCAGGCCCATATTCATCTAGAACATGTAAGATTCCTTTCCTTTTATTTATTGAAATAAACATAACTGATGCTAGTCTTCTTACGCATTTGTTGTTAGATGACTTAAAACTGCGTACTTAATTTCTAATATTTTGCCTTTAATTATTTTGGGAGTTTAAATTAAAAAAACCCCAACTTTAAGTATTACTACTTCTTTATGAATATTATACTTATCTTTATGTACAGGAGGCAGTTTACTCACAGCCAGGTCCAATTTGTTATATATAAATGCTGCCTAAGGGACTTATTACTGGAAGAGAAACTTCAAGCAGACTTTCATAAATGCAGCTATGTGCCAGCATGGGACCAGCACCATAGAAAGCACCTCTGCATATGGTATTTCGCAGCACGGTGGAATGGCTGCCAGGAAAACAGAGCATGTTGCCTTTAACTGCTGGTTAGTGTGTGTGGAAGAGGGGATTCATTCCCTAGCATGACCAGCCATGCCCAGAATTATGTTGGGAAAAGTGCTTTCTGTTTATATCTTTTCTGGCATACAGCCAAGTGAATTATGAAAGACTTTATTTGCTTGGAACAGTGAATTATGAGCCCTGAAGGACTGCAGAGTTCTACTCTATTTTTTCTTTCATGTTTTTATTTTAGCTACACTCTGAATTGCTTGTTGGTGCATAGTACAAAAGCAAAAGAATGTTTCATCAGCAATGCTTGGTCTGCCTCCATCTGGAAAACAAAACTTGCAAGAAGCACTGTAAAGAGCTGCTTATGTCTACGAGTACATGTCTGTGTATACTTTAAGTATTGCCCTCAGTGCTTCCAGTCAAGGTAGTCTGGAAAGATACCACTTCAGAGTAAAGAAATGCCAGATTTATCTCTGCATTTGCACCATTGATATAATCCTCAATTACCTGTGATCACAGGATTTTTTTTGCAGTATAAATAGGAGAGCCCTTTTCTGAAGGTAAAATGAGGAGGGATCTCTGGTTTGTTCAGTCAGATGTTAGTTAATTGATTAATGTTTTTATTTTATGTTAATGGTATGTATATATTATAACAGCTCTCCAGTACCTACAGGGTCCTACAAGAGAGCCAGAGAGGGACTTTTTACAGGGGCATGTAGGACAAGGAGGAGTGGCTTTAAACTGAAAGAGGACAGGTTTAGATTAGATACTAGGAAGAAATTCTTTAATGTGAGGGTGGTGAGGCACTGGCAGAGGCTGCCCAGAGAAGCTGTGGATGCCTCATCCCTGGAAGTGCTCAAGGCCGGTTTGGATGAGGATTTCAGCAACCTGGTCTATAGTGGGAGGTGTCCCTGCCCATGGCAGTGGGAGTTCGAACCAGATCATTCCTTCCAACCCAAACCATTCTATGATTCTATGTAGCCTTGAGCTTTATTTTTTATAGACTAATTCTAATTTGCATTAACGCATTCCTGTTCACACTGTTTCTTCTGATGTCTCAGTTTTTGTGGTCACATGCCCAGGAAAACTGTTTATTCCATTTAGAAGTAGGGAACAGAAACAAAGAAAATGCAACATCAGAACTGTCCACTACCTTTGTTCAAGCTGAAATATTTTGATTTTTCTTCTTTTCTTCTCCACCCGTCATCCCATAATGCACAGCATTTAAAACCCATTGACTTTGGTTGCAGTTGTGGCTTACAAAAATGCCAAGTGCCTGGTCTGAAATGCCTCATATCAGGGATGGGAGGCATGGAAAATGAGTAATGTGTATTTATGGTCTACATCTTTAAAATTTGGTTCCTGGTATTGTATGGATACTTTGGGACAGAAGCAGGAAGAGAATTCAATTCTTCAGAACTTTTCAGATAATTTGATAATTCATACTGCCTTGGTCCCCTCACTTCCAGAATGCCTACCAGCTTCTGAAGAGAACAGGCCTCTTTTCTTCCCACTGCATTCCTAGAGCCCTGCCCATGTTATACACTGGGAGGGTCCTGAGGAAAATATGCAATGTGATCATGTAATTGGAGACTATACAGAATATATAAACAGGAGGAAACCAGATTAGGGCAGCATTAGCATTTCATTCAACTGAATGTTTGCCTTGGCACCCTCTCCCCTTTTTCTTTTAATGGATGGGTTATATCACCTTAATTAAAATTTAAAAATTCCTCTTTGAATACTTGCCTCCATCATCATCAGTGAAGAATAGCTGGCAGTGCAGAATCTCTATAGAGTGTTCAAAGCATTGAACTGGCTGTAACTGGCAGCACTAACAGGATATTGGCCTCCTTAATAATCAGATGATCTTTGTTAATGCAAGGACAAAGGTACTTTCTCCCCTAATGGCTGAAATGGGCTTTTGCTGGCAAGGTTTGCTGGGTATTTCAAGATTTAAGGTGAATGTAGTGGGCTGGTGCCTTTAAATGCATCTGTCCTCCTGTATAAAATCACCATCTTGTTTTGCCTGAGGGTCTTTTGAGCGACTTATGCTTTGTTTTAGTTGGAATTACAGGGTAGGGTAAAGTTTAAACCTGAAGACAGGTTTCAACAATCAGCATTTGTTACACAAACCACATATTTTAGAGGATGAGGACAGTTACCAGCCCCATTTCACAGCTAGAAGACATATAATCCTAAAATGCAGAATTGAGTCTCAGCAATTACAGGAAGCATATCGTAGTAATGTGGCCCTTAACCTTGGCAGAAAAATTTCTGGAGTGTGGTCAGGGACTGATGACCAGCAGAGGGCAAAATAAGATAATGAAGATTGTAGTTTTCCTTAGGAGTTCTGTGTTTTATTAGAATAAAAACATATAATAAACATTCTGTCAGTCCCACAGTCGCCCTTTGAAAGCCTGTGAATACATTTACATGTTCTCCTCCTTCCTCTTTGTTAAAAGAGAGTGTTCTTTTGGCTTTTTGCATTTATCTCAGTTATGCTACATCATTATGGGCTCAATTTACCAAGGAAGATAACATGCTTTCTGAATGACCTGCAACCCATTCTGGGTTAAGAAGGTCAAGCAAGACTACTTTTTTTTTCATCTCGCAATTAATAATAGTAACGCAAGATGTTAGATCAGGGAAGAACATTTTTCTTTTTTAGAGATAGACATACAAAAAGTTTTAAAATAATTTGCCTTCTAAAAGATTAAGTATTTTTTCCTTCCAAGGTTTCAGGCTGATTTTTCTCAGTTGCCTGGAAAAATTTGTGAAGAACTATCAGCAACTTATACATTCTTTTCAGTATTTGTAAAGGGTTGGTTTGTTTTAACCTGTAAGAAAAGGCAAAACAAGGAGGGATTTTGTGTTTATAAATAAACATTACAGGAAGACTTGCTTCAGCTCTGTTAGAGGAACCTGAGCTGAACACGAGTTTAAATTGTAGATTTGATTCAGCCTTACTTTAGATGTGATATGTAAATACTGAGGAACCGAGATAATTTTGAAGTCCCAGAAGTTAAATGGGAGCATTTACAACTGGGCTCCTGGGGCTGATGGCAACATTGGACCAAAAAGATGAACTGAGAGAAGTACATTTGTGGTCTTCCATAATTTCTGTCTATTGGCATGAAGAGAGTTATTTGGGTTGTGGGGTGGGGGAAAGGTTAAATTGTTTATTAAACCAGATGCAACTTGGGACTTTGTTGGAACAAGGGATGCTAATTTACATGATTTATAATATGTAATCTTTAAGTCTGTCAAACCACGTAAATATTTTAGCAGGCCTCTCCCAGTATTACATACTTACTGTGTAACTGCTTTTGTACACAGTGAGGGATGGTGCTGGCTTGCACATAAGGAAAAGTTACACGTTCAGGATGTCAAAATAAAAAGGGATGAAGCTCATAAAACAGTTTGTTGCCTCTAACCATTCTACATAGTACTTGATGTTTAATCTGAAATGTTAAATTATTCTGATAAGTACGTTTGTTTTTGTTTTGTTTTCCCCCCCACCTTACCCCATTTACTTTTAGGCTAGATCTTTCAGTAAGAAAGTTCCCGCGAAGGCGTATCCTGCTTTTTTCTGTACGGTGGGTGTGATATCATGCACTCTTTAAGTGATGGACTCATTCCTCTGCTAATGTTTGTGAAGAGTATCAAATTAAGCATGGTTAACTCCTGCTTCGTGTGTCTGTTTTGGGAGGATGTAATACCTAAAACTCACAAAGATCAATCATAATGTGTGCCTGACTGTGGAACCTTACAGTTTTGATCAACACTTTTAATCCTTCTCCTTTAACTACATCATTTCACCCAAGATGTCTGTATATTCATAGACTGCCATTCTGATGCAAGAGCCCCAAATCTTGCCTATTTTTATAATTTGCTGTTTGGTCTAGTAAAAGATAATGCTTCTCTTCACAAAACCTGATTTTTTTATATGCTTGGAATGTGATGGTTCCGCTACCACTTATTAACACAAACTGTCAAGCCTTTTTGCAGTTTCTCATTTGGTTTCATGTATTGTTTTTTTAAACTTAATGCCCAATTATTTGTATGCACCATATGGATTAAGCTTTTTTTCTTCTTTTTTAGGTTGCTTTAGATGATTTTTTACATAACATGCAAAAAGTGGACTTCAATATATTTCATCCAAGCTTACAAAAGAAGAGTACATTATTACCGTTGCATTTGTATATTAGGTCTTGGAAAAAAACATATTAAAGTTTGTTTTGTTTGTTTTTTTTAATATGGGTTTTAATATGAGTTTTTTTCTTTAATGTCTCAACTTGATAGAATTGTGAAGTGTCTAACTTCACGCTTCTGCAAAGTGCAGTTCTGGGAAACAGCAGATGCACATGAACTGTAGCTGTCAGCTTGCTGGCAGTAGTTAAGTTTGTTCTTGGAATTTGAGGCTGATATCTCTGTTTCACGTCTGCCAAGTCATATGTCCTTGTTGGAGATTACTTTTCTTGTCTTTCCTGTAATAACAGCAATATGACAGAATTTTTCTTGGACAAATTCTGTGCTAATGGATACTTCTGACAGTTGTCACTCTTCACTGAAAAAAGCAAAAAAAACCCTCCAATAACCAAGCCAACAAACAAAAACTGCTTGCTTTATGCCCAGGAGCAGTTACAGTAAATGCCCTGTAAATCAGCTAAGCAGTTCTATTCAGTACAAGGAGCAGGCTTCTTCCAAGTAGTGATGATGCTTCATACTTGGAAGAAAGAGCATGTATATTTGAATGCAAGAAAACTGTCAGGAAAAGCTTTAGCTGTTTTAATTATGTAGTATTTATGTAGCATTTCAGAATGGTGAAATACAGCTGTAGTGCAGAGTTTAACTGTGTGTTGAGATTGAGCATTGATGTGACTGTAGGTAGTGGGAGGATAGCTTTACAACATAGGAATAGAACCCTATACAGTTTTTGTCTCTGGCTTTTTCTCTCTGCTCTGGGCTTGGCTGTGTCTTCCTCTTGGCCTTTAGTCTCTCTGTTGTTGCCCACAGCTGTCATTGCAACATGGGTTCAACATCCCCTTTGCTCGGTATTTACCATGTCTCTCAGGACACCCTCCTACGTGGCTTCCCCGAATTCCTTTTCTTCGGTACTATGAAGAAACGTATTCCTGAACGCTTCAGGTCGTTTTACACCGCCCTGTCTGTAAGGTACTGCTCTGTTTTTGTGGTGGGAAACTGCTGGGAGCTTTGTACTCAGCATCTCTTAGGATCAAGGTAAATATTTCTGTTTGATTTGTTTTATGGTAACATAATGGTTCCTAACATCCAGCTTGATTCAATTGCACAAATCCGGTAGCTTGTTTTGCCGTCATCCTTGTTCTATTAAATAACTGCTTTTCCCAGAGATTTTTTTTTAATCACGGTTAATCTCCCCAGATGCTTGGCTGCATAACAACATCCTGTATTTCAGTGTACAATGCTACATAATGAACTTCTGAGAGCAAGATTTGTGGCTTTTTTAATCACAAACTTTCAGCATGGTAGAAATCTTTGGTGGTTTTGTTTTACTTGTTTGAAGTTGGTTTGTGATACAGATCTCGGTTAATTTTTCAGTTTCTTATTCCCAATTAAGAAATTTCTTTTTGAATTTGTTCAGCTCAGGATCCTGGTTTCTGTATTACTGGAAGTGCAGTAATCGAGGTGATACGAACCTAGAAGAATGTATGTACTGGATTGGGAGTATAATGGCTATTTTCTTAACGTGAAATCCTAACAGGCTCTGTCCTCTTTTCCAGTCAGCTGCTGTATCTTATTGGTGTTCTTGAATGTGGCAAAGAGATCTGGTGAAAAGAAAATGTTTCATTCCTATGCAGGCACTGCAGCTCTTCCTGCCAAACGACAAGCAAAGGCTTAGGCTCTGTAGCTGCCACCAGGCCAGCTGCGCGCTCGCTCTGTTTATTTTGTGTTCTGGAGCAAGCGTTACAAATGTCTCTTTCTGCAGTTGGTCCTTGTTTTGTTCCAAACGTGATGAGTCAGGATAATTGAGGCAGCCCTGTCTGTCTTCTCAAAAGGAATCACTCTCCTGTAAAGTTAACTTTTGGCAGGAGTGCAGTACAGTAAAGAGGAAGAGAAGGGAAACCATGCAGTATCACCAGCACCTCAAGTTGCTACAGTAATATCTTCCTTCTAGGCCACAAGGCCAGTGCTTTGCTTTGGTGTTGAAGTGGAACAAATCTTGACAATGTGTTCACAAAGGCATCAATGGATGAGCTGATTTGTTCTTGTGTAGAAAGAAACCATGTGATGCAGTGATTGGTTAGCATGGTAAGGAGGACTTATCGGTGAATTAGTAAACAGGATATGGAATAAATAAATTCAGGTTGTGACTTCAGTCACAAAAAGAGTTTTGAGTGACCTCAGAAAGTAAAGCAGCATTTCGAGTTGCAAATGACAGGAGGCTGCTTAAATAGGCAATCTGTGTCTCCTTCATATCCTTCAGGGAACAGCTCTCCCTCAGATGGCCATGCCTGATTCTTCCTTTAGGGACAATGTTGTGAATGGAAGCATTAAATACTTGTCAAACAAGGTAGTCTGCTTTCATTAGTATTTTCTCCTTTTATTTCTTGATGGAAGTGGGTGCCATATAAGAAATGTCCTATTTCTCCTCTTTGTTGTAATCTGGCTTATAGTTGTTTTCACCAACTGTTGCTGGCTCAGCGTTGCATTATGCCTGGTTTCAGTTGATGTACTGAAAGAAGTTTCTTTCTTCTGTTCTTTTTTTCTATGGCTGCTACAATTACTGAGATATGTTAAAGATAATTTATCTATGTGGGAGCTGTACATCATTTGCGTATGTCAAGTCGAGTATCTCAGACAACTGTGGGCTGCAATTTCTTTCTTTATTGCTTGACCAAAAAAAAAAGAAAAGACAAATCAGGAGTCAGCATGAATACAGCTTGAGAACCCTGTTTACTTCTTCATCAAAAGGATCGAGAACCTGTACATACATACAATTGTTAGTAATATTTAGGCAATATATGTTTAGGCTTATGCCATCACAAGATCTTTCTAGACCACTAGCTTCAAATGTGTCCTTAAGCACCCAAAATAGAGAGTAGGCTAGAGAGACTGCAGGAATCTATGTCAGAGGACTGTGGATCTCTATCAATGGTACTTTCAACAATGAGAAAGAAGACAGTTCCTGAAGAGCCACAATTGAAAGCTGGAACTGTTCTTTTCTGCACTGTGAATAAGTACTTGTTAAAATCTCTGTCTTCATGTAGTAGAGCAGCTCCTGACCGGCTCACACAGTCACGCTGAATAGGAGATATTTTTTGGTTTAAGCTAAAGGTGGAATTAGAAAACCATAGAAATCAAGTGTAGTCACAAAAGCTCACAAGCCCTGAGATAACAAACAAATCCCTTCTCATGCTAAAACACATCATTATGCTAAATGAAAGGTGCATTTTCAGGAATGGCCTTTCTGAATCAAATAATCTTCACTGCTGCACAATCAGGACAGAGCATCCGTTCTAGCTCTTTCTTGGATGTGGAAGAAGAGATCGAGATGAACAGGGCCAAAGAGAAGAGGCTTCCTCTATTTTTTTTTTTTTTAAGGCAGACTAGCAGACATAAAGAATTTTATCTATTCTCAGGACAAGCATCTGGAAAGACAAAACTAATTCAAAGATCTGAATATACAACCTATCCAAATCAACACAATATAGGGACTGACTCATTAGCATCAAACTGTCATAGGCAGAAAGCTCCTCGCATGTCAAATTTAAGATGCTTGGGCCATGCTAGTTAAAAAGAGTCTGATGAGACTAGAGGAAAATCTCAAATTCTTGTAATGTTTTCATACTTAATTTCTTTTCAAGAACGGAATGACTACTATACAAGTGTTATCATGTGTGATTGCCTGCAAGGGGAGAAAGATGAAGCAGCAGACTGAGAAAAGTGCCCTCCTTTTGCAGCCCCCCACCCCTGAAAAGGTTCTGGAGAAGGACTAGTGACTGACTGCTTTGAGAGGCCTGTGTGGGTGGACTCACTGCCTTTTCCTGCTGGAACTGCCAACAATTATGCCAAATACAACAGTGGTTTTGCAATAGGAATAAATGTCTTCCAGACTGAAATGAAGAAGTCTTGTAACACAGGCAACTAAGCAGTAAAGAGTAATGCTAAATAAGTGTGATGGTCACAGTGCACACATACATAGGCATAATGCACATGCATAACAGTGTGTGACAGAAAGTGCTATTAGACAAAACAATTTACCTTCATTAATTAGGTTTTATCATCATCTTCCTGATGGCTAAGAACAGAATACAGTTTTGCCATGTGAGGTACACTGATGTGCTCAGTTACCACAGCAATAGAATGCAACACTCGCTGAAGAAAAAAAGGCAAAGTACAGTTCAGAATAGTGCAAGATACACCCTACTTTCTTATACTGTTAGATAAAAGTGGCACTTCAGAGAACTTATCTCTCAGGATTTAACTGGAGAAAATGAGTTAATTTTTCATACTTAAGAAAAAAAGAAGGCTAAAATTTCTGATAATATTTTCCTGCTCATCAATCTATGACATCAGCAATCATAATTGCCGATCTACTGCTTCCAAAACAGCAGGGAACGACAGAATCCACTTTGTTATAGAGTAGCTGCCACAGCAAAGCCATGGTTGCATTTTGTTAGAAACACAATACAGGGCCCTGGAAAACATGTCTTTGGAGGCCAAGGCTTCAGGTCTTCCAGATACAGCTGTGCCAGGCAAAAATGGAAGCATCCTTAGGTGCTCACCTTTAGCCATTAGCTGAATGTGTACTGTGCCTACAGCACTGCTGGCAGAACACACTGCTCAAGTCTGAAGTAGATCAGCAAGCAAAGTTGCAGCAGTTAGCTCCTACCTTTCAACCCAAGAGTGAATAGCAGAGTGACTGCTACAAATTACCAGTCTCTCAGACAGTCCCTTCTGTTACCAAAGATGTGATAATCTCTGAAAAAGCACACTAACACGCAGTGACAGCACTGCTGGAGCTGTTCAGTAGTTGCGTGTTATGTAAGGCTGTCAAGATGCAGCTTAAAAGAGCAGCCACACCAAATAAAAATATTACTGCCACACAACCGCTTGCCGTTAGCTCAGCCTCCCTCAGATCAGCTACCACGAGATTTGAACATTCCCCTCAACTTTGTTCTACACAACGTGCAGAGAAGACACACAAAAACCACATACATGCTTTCAGCTGCTGCAGACACAAAAGGTCTGGTGTGACAGAGGTGTGTGGCCAACATCCCGTCTGAAACTATTTCTAGTTGCTGCCACATAGGTGACTGCATGCTCTTCTGTTTGTTCATCAAGTGCAGTGTCTGTTGCCAGGCAAATAAATGAACACACAAAAACCCCAACCCAACCAACTAACCAAAAAATCCCCATACAAAACCAAGCAACGCCTTTTTGGAGGTTCACTGAGCTTTTTGACTGCAGTGAGTTCCAAAGAGGCTCTCTGGTACAAGCAGCAAGTTCCAGCGGCACCCACATTAAGGAAACCAGTTTTCCAAAAGATATGTTTCATGACTCAAGCTCTCTCCTTGCAGCTGAAACATCTATGAGCTGAAACATCTATAAGTACCAGTGGGCAATAACTTTGGAATAGGTGCTGTTAGCACCCTGACTCTAAAGAAACCTGTGTGGCTTCTCTTCCTTAGGAAGGCAGCCTTAGAATGTTAGTTTCACCTCTACAAATTGGGTCACAGCTTAAAAATATGACAGAAATTGTGTTGACAAGCCCTTCACCAACGGGGATTCACTTTGGTCACATTTTTCCCGTACAGGGGAAACATCCAAGTAGATGGATTGCATCTCATCATTGCAGGTAAACAGCAGCCTCTTCTGCTTTGACCAACCTCCAGCACTTCAACCTAGCAGTTTCCTGAATTTTCCTCATGGCAATATCCCCTGAAGGGCATGTCCTTCTTCTACCCTCTCCAATTCATGCAAAGGAATCTCTTTTCCTCCTGCAGCTAGGCCCATTTTTGACCCTTTCCCCAGTTCTAGCCTAGGAGAGTAACTTCTCTCCTACAGGAGACTGGAAAAACCTTGTAATGCTATAACTCTGTGAATGCAAAATTCTAACACTGGATTTTGAAAGAATTTGAGAAAATCAGGTATTAGTATTTTATCCAGGATGAGCTCTAGGTCACTAAACTTCGGGTTTAAAGTCATTACTGCTGAAAATCAAGGACCTTTTCTGGTTTCTAGTAAATGAGAACATGCAAACAGCAAACCAAAACCTCTCCAAATCCATCATAAAAACTGCTAAGAAAATAATAACCAACAGTACTAGCAGATTGTCAGGGAGCTATTTTAAAATTTAACAAGCCCTTTTACATTGAAAACTAGGAAGAGAACCCAGTCTCCTAAAATTTACTTTGCCAAAAGCAAGAGCAGCAATCTACATCAGCTGTGGAAATGTCATAGTCCATTACAGGTTGAATTGTTTCACAGCTTAAAAATACCTCCCATAAATTGTTTGAATTGGAATTGGTTAACAACCAACTTAATTTACAACTGTACAGACAGCAAGAAAACAGTATTAATAAAATTGAAATTAGACTTACTCTGAGCTCAGAGTAATCCACAAATGCTCCCTGTGTGTAAATTTTCATTGCTCTCCCATCACGTACTCGTGGTTGCTCATCCACCAGAGAACATTGTGCATGAGTCATACGGTGTAGCCATGAATCTGGAATGGCACAAATGTCTTAAGCTGGGATTTCTCTATCTGGAATATGGTACCACTGAAGCATCGTGTACCTGGAATAGGTACTTCTGCAATAACAGAACTGTTACCATTTTTTCAGTTTTACTTTCTGGCAAAAGTCAGTGCTCCATAAAAACTAGAAACTGGGACATGCAAAAAAGCACTAGAGAAAAAAGGCAGGGTAAAACAAAGCAAAAACCAGTCACATTGCCATTATAGCACTGCATGGTTAAACTCCAAATAATTTAGGTTAGGAAACACATCTTGCACCACAAACATTAGGACATAATTCTTCTATTCCATAGGTGACTCTGAGTCCATGCTGCTTGAAGTATGGCTTTTTAACTTATGCTGCTTATTACTGGGAAGATATACAAGAAAAGAAAGTCAGGGATTGTTTTTCCATTAGGTACCATTTGAAAAACAAACTGCAGAATCAGAAAACCAGCAGCTGCAGAAAAACATAAATTTGGCCAGCACACCTAGAGGGGCTGCACCATTATGAAAGAAACACTGTGTGCTGGTTTGAGAGACACCACAGAAGTAACACAATGGAATTCAAGAAGGCTAAAACCTCTTAAACAGTGTAACCCTCCTCAGGAAGAAAAATGCGCTAAATTACTTGTTTGACCTTCACTTACAATTTGAACCTCCGTCTTCAGAAGTTCCAGCTCTTTGTCAATCCAGCATTTCACCCTCCTCTCTTAGGTCAGAATGTTCAGGAGGCATGACACTCTTCTTTCTAGTAGGAGACTTAGCCACAAAGATCACTCTCTCATTTTCTGACCAATTTTTCTGTCATCCTTGAACTACATTTTCATGTTCTTCCACCGGAATATCCTGGGAGGATAAAAAACCGAACATTCCTAGGAAAAGAAGGAAGAATGTAGTTATCTGAACTGGTTACTGAGATATTATTGCCCTATTGAGACATCAAGATTACCAGGTTAGGAAGAATCTGTCCTTCAAGAACTGTGTGCATATGGTACACAACAGACTTGGGGTCTGAATCCTCCTTGAGGTCCACATGCTTTTCTTTGCATGATGTGGAGCACTGAGTTATAAACCCAGTGAAGTTCCCCAGTCTAAAGTGAGAAATGTACAATGCAATGTGATACAACACTTGTGTACAATACTTCTAATTCAGCAATTCTGTTCCCCTTTCCTCTGTCCTCTTTCTTAATGTAGGCAGTTGGCAAAGCTGGTATCGGGCCCCAAAAAGGAAGACCATAAGGAAAGTAAGTAGTGATAATCCCTTAGGATTCCTTTTTAGCCTGGTTTTTGCTGAGAAGGATTACATTTGGTCACTGTCTAGTTAAATTGGTCCCCAAACTTCTGAGCTCATCAGCCAAAGTCAGCTGAAGTTGTGAGGATAGCTCTTTGATAGTGAATTTCCTCTGAGTTTTATGAAAAGAGGTAGGTGCAGATAGGAGGGGATGCTATTGATTCCTTTCAGGGTTGGGAAGAATGCAGCGTGAATTCCTGCCTTGTCTTAGGCACTAGAGCATCTATTCCTTAGCTCAGTTTTTTTTGTGACATGGATTTTCTGGAGTCTGCAAGACACAGATTAATTGTAAATCATTCTTTCAAGAAGGAGGAAATATTACAGTGTTATAAATAAGAGTTAAAAAGTAATTTGGTCACAAGATGCACAAAACCACTGGTGTGGGCAAGGTGTCCCTGAAGTTGAGCATTTTACCTTGGAACCAAATTGCTGTGCTGAGTACACAAGCAGGCTTGGTGCTGTGAGGTCGCTTGCTGGCAGCAGGGAAAATCCATTAGCTCCAGGCAGCATATTGACAGCCACAGGCTGAATGTGGGAAGCGGTCAGAAATGCCCTTTGTGTGTAGTAACTCAAGTTCTGTTTGTGCAGCGTAAATTGTTATTTACTGAGCTCAAACTTAGTTTTATAGTTGGTGATAATCTGCTTTCCAACTTGAAAGTGCTCTTAAGTCTTTCCTGTGAGATGCATCTCAACTCATTTTGCAGAAATGCTTATTTGTGAAAGCCAAAGTTTTACTTTGGCTCTAGAAATGGTATAATATCTGAATTCTTTCTTCTCCTCATGTCCTGTGTTGAAAGCAGGTAGAAACATGGTAATTTTTGTGTAGTTTAAGAACATAAAACCTGTGAGTGGTATGGTCATTCAAGTTCTGATGAAGATGATTATGCTTCAATAGGGTATTTTTTTAAAATATAAATGAATGGCTGTGGTTACAATTTCCTCCTTCCAAGTCAGTCTGGATAAAACAAACACTTCAGGAGCCTTTGTCTTGTCCACATACTGCAGCCAAAGACAGACACTCTATAGGCAGGAGCTCACTCCACTTCTGTAATGGTTTCTTTTGTCTTTCCCTGAACTTGGCAGAGCAAGTCTTCCGTGGAAGCCTGTAAGGAAAGCTGGAGTGGGTGGTCTGGGGCAGTGGTTACTTGGTGTTTCAGTTGAGCCCCTGTGTTGCATTCTTTTAGATGAAATCTCAGGTTTATGGAATCAGCAGATTTGCATTACTTTCTGCTAGATCAGTGTCTGTTTTAGGCACAGATTGGCCAGAGAAGCTGGGTACCCCATCCCTGGAAGTGTTCAAGGCCAGGTTGGATGGGGCTTTGGGCAACTTGGTCTAGTGGAAGGTGTCCCTGCCCATGGCAGCAGGTTTGGAACTAGATGTTCTATATGGTCCCTTCCAACCCAAACCATTGTGTGATTCTTGAAAAACAGCTTCTCTGGAGATAATTCCATCCCCGCTTAGCAAGGCTGAGGCTGTTTCATGTAGTGTCAGCTGCATGAACTGTATTGACTGCTTAGGAGATGTATGGTACAAGGAAGCAGCTGCACTCGAGTGACTCTTCAGAGCATATTGTTTATAACGATAAATGATTATCTAAAGTCATGACTATCTATAAAACGTTCTCTCTTTGAGAGGTGCTATGTCTCTTCTGTAGTTGAAATTTGTCCTATTAAAATCTGTCATCTCTGCTACATTCATTAAGCAAGTGCACAAGCAAGTGGTGTCTTTCCAGTCCCTGGTGGACCATAGAATAGACAACCTCTACAATTAAAAAAGGAAAAAAAAAAGAAAAAAAATTCACATAAGAAAACCCATAATGGAATAGTACCTATTAAAACTCCCATCCCTAAAACACACAACTCTGCTCTCCTAAACAGAACACTTCGTGAATAAGACAGCAATAACAGCTAAAGAGTGAGAAAAGTCAATAGTGTTCCATTCAGCTAGGCACCAAACGAATCAAGAAGATAATTTGGATGTACAAAATCTTGAGAAAAGATAGCAGCATCCCAGAAGGACACTTCCAAAACTTCTGACAAACCAACAGGGGTGGTTGCAACTCACTGGAGCCAAACAAGAACAAACTTCTAGTGCAGAATCTGCGACTGGGCTAACTTAGGAATCACCAGTTCATTTTTAAATGATACAATGAATATTCATTCTTTTTTTCACAAAAGGCAATATTTGAGAGTAAAGCATTTAATTCCCCCTTAAAAAGCTTAAAGTTACTGGATTTGGCCTCCTTTTGTGGGTGACTAAGGAGTGGAAGTATTCTAAAGCTGGGAAGGTATTCTGCATTTCTGCATCTGTCAACTAGAAAAGCCAACACACTGCTGCTTAAAAAAGATTTTCAGTGAATAAAGAAACAAAACACAGATTTTTTTTTTATTGTTTGCAATACTTTTTAAAGTTACTGAAAGCAAAGAATTTAAAGTCCTGTTTCAATATGCCATGACTGAGTTTTGCTGACCAAGAATATATAAAGCTAAGAATTAAATCTCTAATATTAGTTTTCTTTTGTAACACAGAACTCACTTATCTGTATAAGAAACAGAGAGATTTTATTTTAGCCCAAGGACAACATATGCTGCAAGGTTCTAGTTGCAAGTCCCATTAATTGTAAACTGATACTTGAGCCCTTACAAAAAAAAAAAAAAGAGAGTTGGTGGGAGAGAGAACTGACTTCCATGGAACAAACTACAGTTGACTACCAGTAGATAATTCCGTCCCACTTACAAATTAACCAAGTCCACTTGTACAGAAAACTTGAAAAAAATCGCCACCTCCAGCTTTTAAAGCCAAGACACTTTTAAAGGATAGTCTTGTGACGCAGTAAATCTCTGAACCTACAGATATCCTGGCTTCTATACATTTTTAAAAATTACTTTTTAGTGCTGCTAAAAAAAACCGTCAACACTGCCGACAATATTTAAACATTTTTTTATGTTAAAGAAAGCTATAACTTCAGTAGGTTCCATCAGAAATTATATGCCAGCACAAAGGAAAAGTTCACAGCAATTTTCAAATTGCTTGAGAGAAACCTGTAAGCCAAGAGAGTTGTAGACAGCCCATTACTGGAAGCTTTCATAAATAATGCAAATGTCTCACTGACACAATGAAGTAAAAATGCTTACTGAACCATCTATTTGCATTGGCTCAACACCAGACAGACTTGCTCCAATTTTCATGTGATCCTTGTGAAGATCTGAAGTGAAAATGCAAGCCCTGAAACAGCTCTTTGTAAACAGTGTCCATTCAAAAATCATAAGGCAATTCAGAAAGCATAGTACAGGACATGTATTGCAGTACATCATTGCTATATCATGTCTTCTGAAGAATATATTTCCTCCACCCTTAAAGTGTAGCTGTGGCAAAGCCGTAACAGTAAGGTTATAATTAAACAGCAAAAATAAATGTTATTTTAGATGACACTATGCTTTGAGATAAGTTTTTTCAGCTAAATTAAGATGGCAATTAAATAATTTATGTGAAATACCCTACTTATACAAAATAGTAAAATAAATTAGTATATACTCTGTTTAGTGGGACATCCCACAGTCTCCTACCCTTTGCCTTCTATGTGTCTTCTGTGTAGAATCTATTTTTTTTGCAAGACTGCATCTGCAGTACTAAGATACAGAGTTAATATGTAAGAGCAAAGATAGATAAGAACAAAAAACTCCATTGAAACCAGCACACATGATCATTATGCCATTTCAGTACAGTGAGCAGAAAGCAAGAGTCACTGACCCTTAGCCAAGTTTTTCAACAGTACTTAAAAATTAGGTCAAATATTTACTTTTTTATAGAGAGATTTAAGAAAAAGTGTTTGAGGGTTTGCAAACATACACTGTTATCAGGTTTATCTTCCCCTCTTGCTGAACACAGTAAAAAAAATACTTCATTTATGAGGAAAAAAAGAATTCTGAAGATTATAGGAAGATAATAGAAAGAAATTATGGCAGTCTTTCATAGCACTGAAGTTGCTCTGCATGATAGCATTAAGTCATTTTTAGTTCACAATCTTCTTCAGACAACAGGTTGCTCATTCTTCTATGAATTGGAGTTAAAGTCTTGTGCTGATATTCCGCGACTATATGTGCTAGAAAAAGCATGTCACTGCTGTAATGCTTTGCAAACCTTTCAGAAAACAATGTCAATTTGGACTTCACGAAGAGAATTAAGACGTGGACACACAGGCAGAAACACTAGGACTGTTTCACTCTGCCTGCATCCAACCTTCTGCTGTATCTTAAGCTGATGTTATAAAATTATTTTGTAAGCATGAAAGAAAAGTTAATTAACCATGAAGCTGCTTCTGATGTCAAGAAAAATTGATTTAGAGGGCAAATTAAATCTACCACAGGTCACAACATAAACTGATCATTTTGATTCACAAGAACCAGCCCAACCCATAAATAAAAGATGCTCTGGTGTGAAGATCTCTGTGCAGCTGGCAATCCCAACATGAAGGCACTGGTGGCCAATTTAAACATTAGGTGTGCCAAAATTCTTTACGTGTGAAGCACCTGACAAATACATCCTGCACACACTCTCAGACCTGGAATTCTTAAACTGCCGCAAGCACCTGTTTCTAAAAACCTTGGGTTGAACAGCTTGGTCCACACCTTATATAAATTAGTACACTAAAAATAATCACAGGACAACTCGGGCTGAACACCAGGTGGATTTGGGGAGAAGCAGATGACCAGGCTGCCATGCTGTAGGGGGGGTGGACACACTTGCTCAGCCCTCCATGTCCTGGTCCCTTCCCTGTGCCCATCTTCCATACCAGGAGAGACCCAGCTCAGTGATATGGCTCATATCTATCTGTGTTCCTGTCTGAACAGGGACAGAAAATTCAGATGAAATTCAGAAAGTTCACTGGGTTCATTATTACTCCAGCACCAAACTTTTTATTCCCCAAAAAAGCCAATCACATTATTGCTCAATAATGTGAAATCTGGGAAATGAAACTGGTATATTGCATGTAAGTGAAACTTTCTTAAAAAAGAAAGCCCCTTGGGCCATTTTCCAGAGCACAGATTTTGGCACCAGCGTGGCACTACAAAGAGCATGGTGCTGTGCCCTCTTCTCCGCAGCTCCCCAGAACACCCCAGCCACCTTTCCCCTCTGTACCATCCATCAGTGGCCGGAAATCGTAGAAGGATCAGGTTAGCTACGGAGTAGTTGGCTAGATTTGGAAAATATTGGTCTGGATTTTGCTCTATTGATGTGTAGACATTAAAAATGCTAACACAGAAGATGGAAGGGGCTCCTCGTGTTGACAGCGTTTCTGGTGGGAGCCGTTCTGGCAGACCTGCCACACTTTCTCCATGCTGACCAGGCAACTCTTCAGACTGAAAAATGTTGCTAATTCCCTCCCATGCGCTGTATAAAACTTTAAGTACAGAGAGGTAGTTAAAAACGTGCCCACACTGAATTTCAGTTGGGAGAGCGTACTTAACAGCCACGACCACGAGCATAAACACGGGATAGTACACAAAGAATGGAAACGTGTTGGTTTAAAAAAAACCCAAAAACAAAACCAAAAAAAAAACCCGTGAGGCAATAGTCTCGTGTCTGGAGTATCCCTGCTCCACGAGGTGCCACTCGAGGGTTAGGAACGGCCGAGCCCCGCTCCTCTCTGCCCTCCCCACGCAGGACGGCCCTCGGGGCCAGCCCGATCCTGAGGGAATGGAGGGAGGGCGGTGCCGCCTCAGCCCTTCCCGCCCAAGATGGCGGTGGCCCCGCCCCGCCGGGCGGTGTCCTGCAGGCCGTCCCCCGGCCCGGGGTGTATGACCGCGGCCGTGCGGGGAGCGGGGCAGGCGGCGGTCGGAGTGGGGTACTCTGGGTGAGCAGCGCGGGCTGGCCGTGTTACGGGCGGGGGTGGGGAGCTCGGTCCGGCCGGGGGAGCGAGAGGGAAACTTTCTTCACAGAGCCCTTCTCCGCCGGGGCTCCGGCCGCTTTCCCGCGGCCATGTTGGGAGCTGGGGGCTGCCTGGCGGAGATGGAGCTCCTCCGGCGAGAGGCGGCGTCGAGCTCCGCTGTCCCGCTGCGGGGCTGGGGCAGCGCCGCGTCCCGCCGGGAGGGAGGGAGGCAGCGGGGTGGGAAGGATCTGGGGAAGGAAGCGGCGGTGGCGGGCGCTGGCTTGTCCCAGGGCGTTGAGGGACTTGGGGGGCCTCGGAAGCGACTTTGACTTCGGGAAGGGGGAGAAGCAGCGGCGGCGGCTCCGCGGCGTTACGTAAGTGCCCGAAACTCCCCGACTCGTGACTCCGCCGGGGCGCCGTGAGGCGGCGGGACGGGACAGGCAGGCGGGCGGGCGGGTGGAGGGCGCTT